GCAGCCTTCCCTGGGCATTAGGGCTGGCTGTAGGATTGGACAGGGCTAGCCTCATCTCTATAGCAAATCCCCCAAATTTATACTTGAAAACAATAACTGTGAAGTCATTACTATTGTGAGTTGCACCTACAATTCTCTGGAGAAGTGTTTCCTGCTTGGAGGTGTTTGTGTCACTGTGACTGCTGTGGAAGGCAGGAGAGTGCAGACAGGAGATGCRGACATGCCAGTTTTGGGCAGCTGCAGAGAGGCACCGCATGCAGGCACAGGCTGGTGGCAGAGCTTGTTTGTGACTCTCATTTAGCAGCACTTSGCAGAGCCACTTCAGGCACACGGGCTAGGGAGTCACCAAGGGGGAAGATGCCACCTCGGACAGAGGCAGCACCAGCCATGGGATTCTCTAGTGGCGCCAGGGGCTCRGCTGGTCCCCAAACAGAGTTGTCATTTCCACATAGTTCCACTTAAAATATAAGTGTGTTTGTGACTGAAAGCTGAGGATTTTCCTGGAACAAACGAGCTGTGTCCGTCCCAGAGCTCTCCAAACAAGGTCTCCTCCTGACAGGCAGGCAAGWACATTCACAGCCCAGGAATGCTGTTTTTACTGCTCCTGCTGCTTGGGTCAGCTGTGGACCCAAATCAGTCTCCCTGAGGAAAACACATCCATGTCCCTCCAGAAGGATCAGCCTGGACCAGCAGCACAATGGCTTGGCCTCAGAGGGGAGCATCAAATCATCCCCAAATAGAGAGAAACATGGGGAATTTACACATATTTTAAAAAATATATATATAAAAAATATGTATACACTGCCAGCACAGGGAATGTTGCCTGACTACAGCTGGTAGATTTATTGGTTAATATTTAATAAATATTAATATATTTATAATTAATATTTAATTAATATTTAATAAATTAGACAGTGATAGCTCCAGGAACAGAAAACAATGCTGGAGCAGAGCCTGAAGTTTGTCCTCCTATCCCGCAAAGACCTAAGCCTCCTGCTTGGGAAGGAGTTTTAAAAAGCAACTCCAAACCAACCYCATCATTTTTTCCACACACTGCAAACCATCCTCACCTCCTCCCAATGTTGCTGCAAACTAGCCAGTGAAGAGGACTTCAGTCAGGAGATTTCCCTTCCCTCCTTTTCTAAGACACTGCTGYCATCCCTCAGAGCATCTCCCCACAGTGACCCGTGTCTGCACTCACCATGGTGCTCATGAGGATGTCGGTGCAGTCAGGGAGCTCAATGTCTGCAGCAGTGATTGAAGTGATTTCTCCCTCTGAATCCCCGCTGAGGCTCATGGCTGTACGGAAGGGAACTTCATCCAGGTAGTTCATTGCTGCTGTCTGATTTCTTGCTGCTGGAGGAAGGGAAACAGAAACTMTAAAAGGTAGAACTAGCATCTCTTAAGCTGTGTGGAAGGAGAGAAAGATGAGCTGTTTCAAGTGCCCGCTGGGTAAAAACAGACTGCCAAAATCTTAATTAACTGACATCAGGGAGCTTTGTCTGAACTAACCTTTGCTATTCTCAGCTTGAGCCAGCAGGACCTGACCAAGCTTATGGCTTCCTTTGGCAGAGATCCTGAGCATTTTTCTCCTCCATGCATGCCCTGCTGCTTTCCATCCCTCCTGTCTCTCCCTTTCCCTCTGGTGCCCATCACATGCTCTCTTCCCCAGGCTGAAGACAGAGCACCTTTTCCAGTTACAGAGGGAGAAATCACAGCCAAGGAGMTGCCCCTGTCTGTGCAACCTGTGAGGACAGAGCTCATGCACACGGCCTCGTGCTGCTAAGCCATCACATGGTGCACCCTGAGGAACCTGGGGTGAGGGCATCCCTTCCAGCACTGCAGCAGCTTACTGGSAGCCAGGCAAGGAGGCTGGTGCATCAGGGAAGCTTGGCAATTACGGGGAACACGCCATTTTTAAGACTAGCTTTTAGGAACCATGCATTTATTTTAAGTGAGGTGATGGTTTTAGATCAGGAATTGCAGGGGAGAGGAAAATTGCTGGTGAATTGGGAATGGTGTCAGGGAAAATATTACTGCAACAGCATTGCCATCAGGTCTTCATAAATGTCTCAATTTAGTAAAAAGCCATTACTTGCTGCATGAAGCCTCGAGCTTTCAGCTTCCCAGTGATGACARTGTGTAAAAGAATTTATTTTATAGATTATAAGCTGTTAGGAGCTGGTAGCCSGTCTTCCACCGAGTTCTGGTACTGGCAGTATGTGCCTGCTCATCCCAAAGTTCTCAGCACTCATCCTCAGGTCACACAGTAAATATGTATGTGACATCCCTAAGTGCTTTTASCCATTATTTTTTCCTTTAAAAACAAACAGCTTCTATGACAACAAGGATAAACACTCCACTAAAAGGAAATATGCAGAAGAATATATACAAGGATGACAAAACTGCCTGTTTAATGCAAGAATAAGAGTCTACAATGGGAGATAGGGTCAGGGTAGTTTCCTGTGTTGGCAAAGGACCCGCAAAGAGCTTCCAGACCACAAACAGGGAGGGACACACACAATCAGTATGCACAATCGCTTGGTGCAACTCAACTGGTTGTACTGGAATGACAACAGGGTTGTCCCTGTGCCTGCTTATGCCAGGAGCCTTTAATRCCTCTGCACAATCAGAGCCCCTAACAAGATTTGCACTCCTGCACGTGTCCTACCACTACCATGCGACACAGACGTGTTAGGATTCCACATGGAGCCAGCCCATCTGCTCCAGCCTAAGAGGGYTCAGCCTAAGGGACAACCCACGTCAGCACTGACAAAGGTGACGCCTGAAAACACGGGTAAGCAAAGGCACCTTCCCTCAGCTTTGTGCTGCTCCTTGAGCAGCTCCTGTGTGCAAGAGGGACAGACCCTCCCTGCAGTTTGCACTGCAAACTGGCTCTTCCCCAAATCCCAGGGTGCTGAGGAAAGGGGTGCTGCAGCATCTGTCACCCAGGATGGCTCCACTGGGGTACAAATTCAAGGGATGGGCAGTGAGTGTGTCCAAAGCCACAGTGAAGAAAATATGAAGAGATTACAGTACCATACTCCACGGTATTTCACTGCATAAATACTGTCCTTTAAGAGAGGCTCCCACAAGTGTTAATTCCCAAAACCACAGTTTAGAAAAGTGCTTTGAGGCCGCAGCAATGACAACATAAATGCTACTAGGAAAGAATAAAGAGGGTCAGTCATAAACACCAACTCCCACCAGAAGGGAACTCCTACAAAGGTTCTGACCTCATGTTCTCCACACCATTCCTGCTCACTTTCACACCACAGACCAGTGACCACATGGTCCAGTGCACAAACCAGTTCACATGAGGAAGAGCATGTGCCTAAACAGCAGGAGAGACCTGACCTGTATGAGGACCAGGGGAGGAAAAGGATACAAACAAGTCTTGGAAACTCCCAGCCAATCCCTCTCTTCTTCTGGACTACACTAAGTTTTTCAAACTTAAAAACAGTGGGAAATATGATACTAAGAAAAGTGGGAATCAAGTCTGAACACAACTTTTTAAATTAATACCCTGTGTCCATGCATTTTGAGTTGAGATTTTAAACACTGCTCCTCATCTGTGGCTTCAACAACTTCCTCATTAAAGCTATTAAACATTTTAACATAGATGTCATTGGACAGGAGCAAATACACAGAACATAGCTAACGGTAGATCCTCTCCTGGCATTTTCAAGCCCTATGTTTATTAACAATATGAAGTTATCCTTACCGTCAGATGAACTCATGGAGCTCTCCTCGCAGGCAGGCAGAACAGGGCTGCTGCTTGGCTGCCTCCTTATCTACTGCTCAGCTCTTTAAATTCCTGCAGTGTCACACAAGCAGCTGACTTGGACAGCTTTAAGATAATCATAGCTTAAGCGGTTGGCCTTTTCCATCAGACATGCTGATGGGATAAGGAGCCTAATTGTTTAAGCAGAGCATCCTCTGGTCACTAAGCTGCCTGAAATGAAAGTGTTTGGTTTGTATTGGTTTCATGCAGTTGTTCTTATTTTTATATTTGAACTTGTGAATCTCCATCAGAGAAGACTCCCCAGGATMAGACTCAGCTTTGGGTCTGGAGTAAGGAGATACTGGAAGTGACATTAGGGATGGGAGAATATAGGGGTAGCAAATCAGAAGTTCACCTGCAGAGGACATCATGGCAATCTGTATTTTGGRGTGCTACAGGTGAGCAAGAACTTCTGCACTCATGTTCTATCAGAAACTACTCATTTGTGTGCTCTTACTGATAGAAACAGTGAAAAGGTTCAGCCAGGACAGTATTAACACTACACATAAGGCCCAAGTATTGAATTTAGGCAATGACACACATGAATGACGCACTGTTGTGACGCCAGCAAAGCACTGGAGAGATTAACTCAATTCCCACACATTGTGGCTAAGCAAGAATAAGGACTGCAGCCCTGGAAAGGTGCCACAGCAATCTGTGTAGAGCAGCAAAGCTCCAAATCCATATGGCCCATCACCATTACAAGCAAACTGTCCAGAACATGGAAACCTTTGACATCAGATGCCTCKGTCACCTTGCAGGAGCGAGAAGTTCCTTCACAGAAAGTTTTTCTCAACAATTCTCCCCAAGCTGGAGTTGTATTTGATGCAAAGTACTCAAACAAATCTCTCCCCGGCGTGAAAATGCTTAAAAGAAAAAAAACAAAAATCCATTTTTCTCTATTTATTCTGTACAAAAAAACCCACAACTTACACAATTAAGCTGTGGTTTTTAATCCAATATACAGACATGATGTGTCTCCATACAAAAGTATCTATATAGGCAAAACACTTTACAGTAGGTTAGACTTCAGATTTTATTAGTTTTTTTCCCAGCAGGCTTATTCATCAAATTTATATTACCACAACTAGAAAYTTTTTCCATGTTTTGGTATCAGTTTTAGTCCACAAAAGTAAAATGTCAACAGCTGCTTTAATCAGCCTTGAAAACCCGTCTTGTTTGTACTTCAGAATTTGTTTAAACTTGTAATAGGTTTGTCTCTACACCCAAAAATACAGGAACTATTTTGACAGTGATGCTTGACATGCTTCATTTAAGAAGAAAAGCATGTTTACTAATGATGTCTTCTTTTTTTTTTTTTTTTAATTTCTTCATTTCTGAAGTTTTCATCATCCTTTATAAAGATAAAAGCCACTAAAAATCGGATGTTAATACTGGCACAAATACCACCGTCAGCAACGTTCCTCTATTCAGATTGAGATTTAATAAGAACTCGCAGTGGGACTGTAATTCCACACGAGAGGCCTGGCAGCTCTGCGCTTGCTCAGGTATCTCCCTGCATGGTCAATCAGCAAAAACAATTCTTCAACTTTTCTTCAAGTTATTCCAGCAAAGAYATTCCAGTACCTGGCTGCCGAAAGAGAGGACAAGACTTTCTCTTTGGACCCTCTCACATTTACACATGTAATTATAATGAAGCAATCCTCCMATGTTAGAATATCACTGAATTATCTGACAGCAGTGGCCCAAGTGTCATTGGTGGGGAGACTGGGGAGAACCCATCCTGGAGGGATGCAGCTTCCTTCGGGGTGGTCAGCTGGCACCAAGTACTGATCCCATTCGTGCCTGTAACAGAGAGAACAGTGTTTGAGAGGAGAGCTCAAACTGCTAAGATTTATTATAGACCCCCACATTACTGACCAATACAAAACCCACTATAATTGTACTCTTAAACTTGTTTTTCAAAAGACAAATGTGAAAATTAAATGTTCTGGTGTTAAACAGAATGGTTATACATGGAGGGGCACTCTGCCTCACACAGATATGACTCAGGCAAGAAATCTGAAAAAAACAGAACAATCTACTGCATAACCATATTTGGAAGCTGACAAACCAAAAGGGGCACTGAATTTAAAACTGCAAAAAAAAGTGTTTGTCATCTCTGATAATAAAATATTTTCTTTGGTTTTACCTGATCTGGATTAGAGCTGCTACAGAATGTTCAGCTTGTAAGTAGTAGTCTCTGAAAGGCTGCAGTAGATGGGCAAGTGGGAATTCAGCTGTGAAAACAGAYAGGGAAGTTGTTTAATAATCCAGAAAAACTTTCCATTCTAGTGAGTCTCACAAGCCCCAAATCTGCAAAATCATCTGCTACTGCCCAGCTGTAACCTTAAATCAGGTCCCTAGTAATCTATGAAGGACTGTTTACACGTTACACATCTCCTGGTCYGTACCACAGCTGTCAGAGGAAAGCCAAGGCTGGCAGAACTTTTCTTGATCCACCCTCAGAACAAGGGGAACATACGGACACTGAATCTTTAGAGATTACCTGAGTCCCACTTACCAAATCACCAGACTAAAGCAAATACTGGGTTCTGAAGTCTTCAAATTATTGTTTATTCTCACTTAGGTTTAATCTACAACCTCCTCTTGCAAAACATTATGAAACCAGCTTGAGATGTGCTGCCACCCTTGTCGAAGAGCTCAACAGTTCTCTTACACCACAGATGTTAACAGCACTGTTTATCCTCAGTTCTCAGACCATCAATTACTCCAGTGGATGATTCCTTTCTCAACTASATCTGTGCCTGCATTTCAAACCCAGTGTCTGTCAGAGATGAGGATGTGGTGTGGAAAAACAGTTAAAAACAGCATGCAGGATTTACCTGGATCCCCAAACAGCTTGGAATCCATTTCCAGTTTTTTCTGTAGTAGTTTTTCCCTTTCCTTCTTCTGTTTCTTTTCCATTTCCCTYTTCCTTTCCTCCTCCTGTTCTCCCTCCAGCATAACCCTTAATGCTCTTTCCTCAGCTTCATACAGCTCTGTGCGAGTTTTGAGCAACGTCTTGAGACTCTCCACCTGATTCTCAAATGCTTCATCTGCTGAGGGAGGTGGACAAACACCTGAACAGAAAGAGAAGTGATTTTAAGTTTTCAGATTCAGAAGGGGGCTTGTTAACAGACTGGAGAGCAGAGCTCGCAAAACCTCAGAGGAACATGAGCTTAACCTTGTTAACAGACAGAATTCTTACTGAATAATCCTTCTTCTAGAAAGGGCTTGGAAACATAGGAACACAMCTACTGAATTCAGCATTTTGTAGCCATTCTTGTAACTAAAATCACAATAAAGATACAGCTTTTTGAAGCTGAACATAGCTACTCAGCACAGGGCACCCTCATCTTATTTCCTGTGTGCAGTTTAAAAAATGTGGCCCAAACTCGTAATTACCTTTCCTGGCAGCAGCCTCTTTCCTCAGTTTCCGAAGCTTTTCCAACCCACGCAGGATGTCCACCATCCTCTTTGTGTCTGCTTGTTTCTTCCGGACTTCAGACAGGACACTGTCAGCAGCAGCCTTCAGCTCTTGTTCCTAAGAAAGGAAGGGAAAAAAAATAGACAAGATGTGTGAAATACCCCTGGAAGACAGGAATTAAACAGCATTTTCAGAGATTAGCAAAGCACTGGAGAGCAGAATGATTTCATAGTAACWGCAGCAAGTCAAGTCAACCAGCCTTGCCTTTTTATGAAAAAAAAAGGCTGTAACACCACAGACTTCAGGAAACAAAAAACAGTGCCATGGGAMTCATAAATTTGGGCTAAATCACAGAATCATGGAATTGTTAAGGCTGGAAAAGATCAAGTCCAGCTGTSAACCCAGCATGCCCACAATGTTCACCACTAAACCATGTCCTCAGGTGCCCCATCCACACATTTTTGAACAGTTCCTAGATGGTTTATKAATTATGAAAGCCTGTGAGCCTTTAACCAGAGAAATTTGGGGAAAGCATTTAACAATAAACCGAAAACACCCCAATTCCACAGTTCTGCAATTAATTACCATTACCTGCCAGAGTCTGACCACAGCAGCTGCTCTGGACTATCCCAGCAGCAGACCAGCAGAATGGGAGTTCTTTAMCCCAAAACCAACAGAAAGGTGCCCACACAACTTTCCAACAAGTCTAATTTGAGGTGGGGGTTTTTGTTTTTTTTGCTTTGGAGAGGTTTTACTTCCCGATGAGATCAAAAGCTTGAAAACCACAAGCTTTAGAAGGATGAAAGCATGAGACAAGGTTGATGGATATTGAAACAGCACTGACCACCACAGGGTAGCTGTGAGCKGTGCTCCCCCCACACTCGGGACCAGAAGGGAAAACCTCCACGAGTTCAGAAACAACTTAAACCCCAATTTCACGTCAATGCCTAGAATATGAGGATGGCAAAACCGAGATGTCCACCCAGAATTTTAAGGAAGAAMCAGGGCTGCGGACCATAGAAACAGCAGGTCTCTGAGCATGCACTGAACTGCGGGGGTCAAAGCAGGCGTGGGGCAGGCACAGGCGGCCGCGATCCCGTTACCGGCAGACCCCGGCTCCACCGCGCTGCCCCGGAGCCCCGGGGAGAGGCAGGAGCAGGCGCTCGGTACCGTACCCGGTTCTTCTCCTGCACCTCCTGGATGCACTTAGCCCGCCACTGGTCGATCTTGGCCTCTCGCTCCGCGGCCCGGGCCGCCTCCTCCTCCTTGGCCGCCCTGGCTTCCAGCTTCCTCCGCTGCAGGCGCAGCCTCCTCTTCCTCGCCCTTTCGGCCTTCCTCCGCAGCACCGGGCCGTAGCCGGGCTCTCGCAGGGGCCGCACGAG